ATCTAACTTCACCGTATAAAACAGTGTACTCTACAGTGGCCATGTATTAGTTTAGACTTGACTATTTAATCCAGAGATTACAGTACCATAAAATGCATTGATATCTGGTTTACATAGATTTTTATTTCACTACTGAATTCAGATGTGATGATGTCTTAGGGTTTCTGTTGCTGTGAAAATACCATGATCAAAAGCAAGTTGAAAAGAAAAGGGATTATTTGGCCTTACACTTCAACACTGTAGTCCATCACTGAAGGAAGTTGGGATAAGAACTCAAACAGGGCAGGAACCTGGAGGCAGGAACTAATGCAGGGACCATGGAGAGGTGCTATTTACTTGCTTTTTACCATGGCATGCTTGCCCTGCTTTCTTATAGACCCCAGGACCATCAGCCCAAGGATGGCACCATCCACAATGGCCTGGGCCCTCCTACATTAAGAACCAATTAAGAAAAAGCCTTACAGCTGGGTCGTATGGGAGCATTTTCTCAATTGAGATTTCTCCTTTCAGGCAACGCTAACTTGTGTCAAACTGACACAAAACTAGCCATCCCCGAGGGTAACAGATGGAAGATCCATTGGTATGGATAGTGTCACGCTTCCCTTGGATCACTGTGTACAATCAGAGAACAATAATTGCTAAGAAAGGAAAGCTGATTCATAAAAAGCCTGGGCTTGTTTTTATTTATCTCTGGCTCTACAAATGACAAAGTTTTACTATAATTATCCAAAACTTCTCTAGAAGGTCAAAGCTAATGAACTCATTTTTAAGAAGAAAAAAAAAAAGAATGTTTTTTATTGACAACAAGAAGCTGTAACCTCATTTTCCACTCCATTGCTTTCCAGTTAACTGGGTATTTTGATTATACCATGTAGGTAAATATTCTATGTAATGAGCTTTCTTAAAATTTATCTTCTAACTGAAAAATGAGAACATAAAAACTTCACATCGGACAGGGAATTCTGTGATATTCTGATGCATGTGTATTCTGGGCAATGCTGAGACCAGTTTACATCCATTTATCTCCTCAAATATTTATCATTTCATTAGTGCAAACATTTGAACTCATTTCGTCTTGAGTTTTGAAACATCTCATGCTTTATTATCCTTCATTATCTCCCTGTGCACCAGAGCCTGGAACTGCTCATTCTATATGATTGCAAATTAAGTTCCCCTGGTAGCCATTTCCTCATCCTTTCAATGCCTTAAGTATGTAAAACTTATGAACATAATGTATTCATTAAAGAGAATCTGACATCAGGGCCTGTAGTTTACTACTAGTATGTCCTTAATTTAACCCACCCAAAGAGAATGCGTGTTTTCATTACAGTGACATTTTGAACATCTACTATGACTTGGTTACAATGTGAAAGTCAGTGAATGATAAGAAATCTGCAGCATCCGGACAATGTGGCTTGCCATACACCAGCAAAGAAGATGATGTGACTGAGATTGTACCAAATGCACTGGAACACTATAATCACCCAAGTAAGCATGAGATACTGCAGGAGGGCATGATAAAAGTAGCAGTGGAAACGAGGAATTAATGAATTGGGAATCAAACAAATAACAAATGAGACCAACAAAGCAAAGAAAGACTTTTCAAGACTGATAAAAATAAAGATAAGTTGGAATGATTAATTTTAGAAATGCAGAGGATAAAGTGACCATAGATATGGTAGAGGAGTATAAAAAATTGGAGTGAGGAAAGTTATGAAAAAGAAGAAAAAATAAAATTGAAAATCTGAATGATGGAGTGGGATAGTTGTACCTTGTAAAAGAATGACTCAAGAATACACAGAGCTATCAGAACTAGAAAGGATGAAGCTGCCCCACATGCAGTAACTACAAATGTGCACAAACCTGATGGTAAGATGGCTCAGGGGTAAAGGAATTTACTGCCCAGCCCCAGGACCTGAGTTCAATCCTGGAACCCACACTGTGGACGGATAGAACTGACTCCTGTAGGTAGTCCTTGACCTCCACACATGTGCTACATCAAGTGCTAAACACGTACACATGCATGCACGTGCACACACACCCACAACTTGAAATTAAGCAATTAAAAATGTCTGCAAACTTTTTTGAAGACTTTTTATAAAGCTCAATTGGAAACCAGAAAGTAAGACATAATGATAGTAAGTAGCTTGTTGGTATTTACCACTTGAAGACATCAGCTCTTTCCAAGTAAACTGTTAAATTCAAATCAATTTTTGAAATTATATCAGATTGCTGTATATTGATATTCAACCCAAAGCTTTACTTAAAGTTTGAGATTGAATACCAAGAGCATCAGGACACCTAAAATGAAGGAAGGAAGTGAGGAAACTCAGTAAGACACTGTAATGATAAGAACAGGTCTCAACTAGCAAGGACAGTTGAGTAAGCTGAAGAGGCTGAAGCACTGTGGAGACCAGCATAACGAGTGAGGGGACAGGCTGCTGAGTGTTCTTAGAACAATTAACTATCCATTCACACGAGAAAGATGAATTTTGGTAATTTCTAGGCTCAAAAATAAGATGCAAATTAAGTAAAGATCCAATATGTGAAAAGAAGGCCAATTGTTTAAGAAGACAATACAGAAAAATTGTCTGGGACACCAAGTACGGAAGAGCATCTTCAACACAATGTGATAGCACGCAACACAAAGGAGAAAAGGTTGACTAAAATTGATTAAAATCAGCAATTTCTTTATGAAAAATGGCTTTCCAAACAATGTGGGAAGACATGTCACAGACTGGGAAATAATCTTGCAGATCTTACAAGAGGAAACTAGTGTTCAAAGGAGTGAACCTCAAGTCATCAAGAAACTAAAAGACTACCCCAAATGAAAGTAGTTCATAAAAGAAAATTTGTAGGAAAAAAAAGACAATTTCACCTGACCAATAAAAATGGCAAAATGTTTGCTACTAGGGAAACACCAAGTAAGAGCATCCCAGTATGTGCATCTGATGGACTGCCAGTTAATGGATGAGAGGCAATAGGAGCATGAGTTCTTCTGCTGAAACAACCAGATTCAGTTGTACAACCTTCAAGAAGTAACTTTAGAAGGACACCATGGAACAAACTTGAAGAACAGAGGGCTGGGGAGATGGCTCAGTGGCAAAGAGCTCTGGCTCTCTTCCAGAGGACCTGGGTTCAGTTCTCAGCACCCACATGGCCACTCATCATAACCATCTGTAACTCTAGGACCAGGGGATCTTATGGTCTTTTCTGGCCTCTCTAGGTACTGCATGCAAATGGCACACAGACATACATATAGACAAAACACTCATACATAAAAAGTTCCTGGGGCAGCTGAGGACAGAGAACCTGAAATGACCCTATCCTATAGCCATACTGATTAATATCTTGCATATCACCATAGAACCTTCATCTGGAGATGGATGGAGATAGAGACAGAGACCCACACTAGAGCACTGGACTGAGCTCCCAATGTCCCAAGGAGGAGCAGAAGGTATGAGCAAAGAAGTCAGGACCACGAGGGGTGCACCCACCCACGGAGACAGTGGGGCTGATCTATTGTGAGCTCACCAAGACCAGCTGGACTACGGCTGAAAAACCATGGGATAAAACCGGACTCTCTGAATATGGCGGACAATGAGAGCTGCTGAGAAGCCAAGGACAATGCCACTGGGTTTTGATCCTACTTCATGTTCTGGCTTTGTGGGAGCCTAGCCAGTTTGGATGTCCACCTTCCTAGACCAGGATGGAGCGGGGAGGACTTTGGACTTTCCACAGGGCAGGGAACCCTGACTGCCCCTCAGACTGGAGAGGGAGGGGGAGAGGAGTGGGGGGGAGGGGGATAGGAGAGGGAGGAGGGGGGAAAAGGGAGACGGGGAGGGAAATGGGAGGCGGGGAGGAGGCGGAAATCTTTTTTTTTCAATAAAAAAATTATATTTAAAAAAAAAATTAAGAATCCTTTGAAGAATAGTCTATAAAATGTGGAATTACTTTGCTGGAAATTTAAAGCTTAATTCTGACAGCAAGAACGGTGAAGTGATGATCATAAATATTTATGTGTGCCTGTGAAGTTTTATCATCTAAAAAGAATACGATATCCACAATGAATGTTAACACTCCATCTCCACGATAGACATATTATCCAGTATTCCTTTCCTTATAAAAACGTATATGCTAGTTTTGAAAACTTGAAATCACATAAATGTTTTAATATAGTTAATTACCAACTGTTTTTAGTGAAATATTGTCAGAAGGAACATGAAAGATATGTTAGTATAGAAAGGTTGAACTCTTGACTTAATTTAGAAATTGAAACAATGGCATTTGAATATTGCATGGAGAGAAAGTGAGCCAGAAGAAGGAGGCCGATGAGACAGTGGAGCCCAGGGAAGCAAATGGGAGGATTACTTCAAGAAAGAAACAAAGCTCATTGAGTATGTAATACTCTGAAAACGAGGAATAAACCTAGCAGAGGATGGGAAATAATTAGAGAATTAGGAAATGTAATGAGATCTGGGGGAGTCAGTCATACTGTGAGGGAAAGGGATGATGCTGTCTTTAACTCATTTTTATTTAAAGAAGTTTTTTTTCCATTTTACATACCAACTGCAGTCCCCCATCCTTCCTCTGACTCCCCATATCCCCCCATTCCACCCCTATGCACTCCTTAGAGGGGGTAAGGCTCCCATGGGGAGTCAACAAAGTCTGGCATACCAAGCTGAGGCAGGATCAAGCCCCTCTCCTGCATCAAGGTTGAGCATGGTACCCCACCATAGGAAATGGGCTCCAGTAAGCCACTTTATACACCCAGATAAGTCCTGGTTCCACTGCCAGGGGCCCCACAAACAGATCAAGCTACAGAACTGTCACCCACATTCAGAGACTGATGGAAAGCAGATGCAGGGATCCACAACCAAGCACAACTTAAGTCTTAAATAGAACTTTAATAAAGTCAAAGTAAAAGTTACCACTCACTAAGAAAAAAAAATAGAAGCTATCTTCAGTAAAGTGATATGAAGGTGTTTGGAGAGTCTTACCGTTTTTACTGATGTCGAGTTCCTTCAGATTAACTAGGCTAGCGATAGAGGTCGGCAGACTTGAGAGGTCATTATCAGGGATGCTTAGTTTCCGCAGAGCTTGGCAGTTAAACAATTGCTGTAACAGAAAAGAACAACTCACTCGTTAGGCCACAGTTTGGTTAGACCCACACATTTATAAATTCAGTAGCAAATTTGAAGTTACCGTTTTCTTTTTAAATCAATATGGCAGTAAAAGAACCATTAATAAGGCTTCATTTTCTTCCACACCCAAATTGGAATAGCTTCACAACCCATCTAGCTGATAGTGCCTTGCTCTTTTCTCTCATATAGACATAAACAAAATAGAACAAAATGAGAACCAAGCAGACAAAAACCTTCAAGAGTTATCCTGTCCATTCCTACAGCTAAGGGGATCACTTTAGTTCTCTTTATTTTGACATTATATTAGATTTCAGAAAGTCTTACTTCAATTTCTTTATCCTGAATAAATACTTGTATGTTATCAAGAGCTAAGACACATCAAAATACCTACACTCACATTCTTTGTGTCCCCTTGGATGCCTCATAAATCACTGGTAGATGAAATATGGAACAAAAATTCAATCAGGCTCAATTCACAGTTCCGTCAGTCTAAAGTACTAGGTGGGGGAGAGCCAAGTGCTAAATTAGTGGCAGAACCCAGCATGGTCACAACCACTGGTGGGTTGAGGTGTGTTTCAGATGCAGTTTCTTGATCTACTTGACAATTTAGCAATGGGGTAAGGCAACCTGCATTTTCAGCAAGTCATCAATTTGGATTCAGTATAGATGTTTCCAGTACCACACTGTGAGAAGGAACAACTCTAATTTTTGTTAAAGCTCTGTTTAACTCATCTTGACTACTAAAGACATGAAATTGGAGGAGAATTTTCTAATTCATTTCTAAGAGAATTATCTTAATGAAATCTTTTCTGACTTTTCTAATTCTGCTTTCCTGAACTTCCACAGATGAAGTCTGGTAATCATGACTACGCAGTTGGCCAAAGGTATATTTAACTACCACTTCTTCCTATACATAATTCCTTATTTATAGGAAAAACAATGTAGCATGCGGATGTTATTTCTTAACTCATTAGTTTTTTTTTTTTTTTAAGAGGAGATCATACGACTTCTTACATAAGAGGAAATATGAAGTCTCTTACTTTGGGTTAGTCATCTTGGGTTCTTTATAAAGATTAGTTGCTATTCAACATGATGTCAAAATTACTTTTTTCAGCATCCTGTATAGAAATGGATTTCTTTTTATAAGACTCTGAAAGAGACATTTAATGGATTCTTTAAAAGACCTTCCACCTAACCAAATAGGAAACACATGGTTACAGTCTGAGAAGTTACCATCAACTCCCTTCCAGTCTGTGTGATCTAATAATACAGTGATGTGCTGTGTGAACACTCACTGCTATTATTTACAGTTTCACAGTCAATTATCTCACCATTGACTTGGGTAAGACTTACTAACCACTCTTTCTGCTGATCGTTACAACCGTTTTAGCGAAAGGTAAAACTAAAGATTTTAAGTTATAGTCTTTTAAGTCTTATTATAACAACTAATTCTCAGGTGCATTCAAGATTTAGCAAAAGTCCTAGTGTTGTTCAATTTTGAATTAAGTGACTTTTTAAAATATATATACATAAAGGAAATGTCTTTTCTACTAAGAATCCAAGCAAGAGCAGGGACTTGACCCCAGATCAGTTTCTGGTCAATCCTGACTCTTCTTGCAGTGTTATCACTGAACCCAGCTGGTGTGGGACAATTCTGTATTCTGTCAATTACATTTTAAATAAATGCTGATTGACCAGTAGACAGGCAGGAAGTATAGGCCAGACAACCAGACAGGAAGTAGAGGCAGGTCAAAGAAAACAGGATTCTAGGAAGGAGGAATTCCATTCCTCTGCAGTCCTGTCCAGACACTGAAGAAGCAGGATGTGACCTGCCCCGCTGAAAAAGGTACTGAGCCACGTGGCTAACATTAATAAGAATAATGAACTAATATAAGTTGCAGGAGTTAATAAGAAGCCCGAGCTAATGGGCCAAGCAGTGTTTTAATGAATACAGTTTCTGTGATTATTTTGGGGCTAAGCTGGCCATGCAGCCGAGATGGAACAAAGGGCCTGCTCTCCATGCTATGCCCAGCAATTTTCTTGCCTTAGAGTAGGGATGCTAAACCATACAAATTGAGACCCAAGAGAGTGACAGATGCTAATACAAGCTTTCAATTCTAAACCTCACAGTTTTCTTCTACTAATGTTTTTGATATTTACAATGTACTGTACAATCAAGGGTAAGTTATTTTTTGAGGGCTATCCTTTTTTCCAGATATTCTCCACACTAATATTATTATATACACTAATGATTTACCTCATAATACGGGTTTTAGATTTGGTAAATAAAGTACTTGTGAAACTACATTGCCGAGGAAAGTTGGGTGACTGTTAGCAATTAAAAGTCCGTCAGTGTACAGTGTGATGGTCTGCTTGCTACTTTTCTATACAAAACAGGCTCTTTGGAGGCAGAGTCCTGCTCAGCTTGCTTGCATATCACATATTTCTCCTTCCCATTTACCACAGAACACTTTTCTGTCCACAGTTTATGCTGAGCCAAAGACTTTGAGAGTGCAGATAATTAAAGGGAAAATGAGAAGCATGCCAAACTCCTGCTGAGACAGGCAGATTTGGACAGGAAGCTTCAGAGAGGTAAACGGTGTCACTGGAGTCTGTGTTTCCTAGATCAAGTTTCTTATCTGAGCGAGCTTCTTCCCATGAGTCATGCCCTCTACAAAACTAAGAGCCATTGCAGGGCCTTCTCAAGATTCAAACTCTGAATGAAAATGAGGTTGGATCATTATAAAACAGCTGTATTCTTCAACATATAGGAAATAAACATAATTAATAGCTACTTAGCATCAAACTATTAACTATATGGCTATCATGATCTTCATTTGCTCATAGCCCCCGTTTTTAAAACAATAGAAATGTTTTGATTCTGAAAATGAATTTGTGATATTGTGCAATTTCCCTTTGACTAAGAGAGCAATTCAACTCTGAAGAAATTCTTGGGATCTCTTTAAACTTCACAGCCCACAGAGAAATGATCTGCATGAGACAAGAAGGAAGTCTAGTTCAACACAACTCTGTAGCTGGTGTTGGTTCAAACTGCTAGGGTCTGACCCTGGACTGTTTGTTTTATTTTAGGCATATTTAAGCAGAGTACAATTTTGGAAGAAAGTTTCTGATGATAATTAACTCAATCCATGATGATAATTAACAAAGTTTAAGACATACTTTTATATTGAAACTCTTTACAAAGTACATATGTCCTTTTCCATAAAGATGGGGTCGGCTGACCGAGAAAGAATGCTCACTATAAGGGTCTAGGGAGAAAGACCGAGATAAACATACATGCTGGAGGGAGTCAGGTGTGACCTGGCCCTACATATAACACAGGTCACTATCACCAAGCTATTAACTACATCCGTTGCCAGCCTTCTGGTTGAAAAACAAGTTATGTTTCTCTTCCCTTGTGGAGACTATTCTGCATGTTTAATGTTCCTGGTTTTCCCAGTGTTTATCTGTGAGCACAAGGACTTCTTGCTCCCTAAGTTCTATAAAGTATCATTTCACTCATTAATTTATAAGAATCTTCTTACTTGTGCTTGCTACAAACTAGACCTATGTGGCTGTGAGTACGAGGGATCATTACGTGAGATACAAGGAGCCATCCCCTAGGGAATAGACTCTGCTTGAATACTCAGTCACACATGCAAATGTCCTGTGTAAATCTGTACTGGGGTACCAGAAATGCACACACAGGATCTGGGCATTTGATGGGATGGGACAGAATGTCTGCAACCCGAGGAGGCCTCTCTTAAAGGAGTTATGAACAGGTTTCTTGAAGGCATCTGCTGGGAGTGGGACTGGGGAGTGGCCACATCATGCTTCTCTTAGTTGCCTTTTCAAACGAGTTTTAGACATTCACTTGGTAGTATGAGGGGATCTGGATCTTTGAGAGAGTTCCCTGATTCTGTTTGTATTAAAGTGTGTGTACTGGACATATGCCAAATGTCAGTGTTGCCCTCAAGAGCCAAGCTGAAGAAAACATAAATTGTCTCTGAACTCAGAAAATAGACAGGACTTTATCAGCCGACAAAGTTTCAATATTCATGGAATAGTTGCTAAGTGCTGAAAGCTGTTAGAGTTGCTATCGCAAAACTTTTCTGCAGAGTAAATGAGTTTAATATGTCTAGATAACGAAGGCAGGATCTTTAAGCATGATGACAAAGCGAGATTATCAAAGAGAAGTCGGCGAAGGAGAAGATTGAAAGAGATTAAAGTCAGATGGAGAAAGTAACAGCAGATCTGATAATAGGGACCAATTAGATAAACGAGGCAAGAAAGACACCAGATAATCAAAAAGACTCACAAATGGCACAGAAGAGAGAATGAGAAGGTGTTGTTGGATCACCAGAAAAGTGAGTGCAGAAGAAGAGGATGGGGTGATAAAGGGTTTGATAAAAGCTGTCTTCACTCATCTACAGCAGGCACAGACTCAACAAATTCCAAACAAGAGAGAGGGAGAGAGACAGAGAGAAACCACACAGAGATTTATATGAAATTTTAGAGTGCAAGGACCAGAGCATCTAAAAGCTGCCAGGAAGAAGGATTTCCTTTGAGAGTTGTGCGGAGGCTGGAGGGGCTAGTGCTAGCAACACAGGATAGCTGTGTGTTGTAGAATAATCTTTCTGCACACTGTGAAGATATGTCAGTCTGACTGGTTTACTAAAAAGCTAAATGGCCAATAGCTAGGCAGGATTTTGAGGCACACAGAATGTTGGGAAGAAGAGAGAAGTCACCAGGGGATGAAGAACGAGCAGGATGGGCACTTTACAGATGAGGTAATAAAGGTCATGAGGCAGAAAATAAATGAATGGGAATGGGCTAACCTAAGTTATAAGAGCTAGTTAGAAACAATCCCAAGTTATCAGCCAAACTTTCATCATTAATAAGAAGTCTCCTTGTCATTTAATTGCGAGCTGGCTGACAGACTAGCTCCAGCTGTGGTTGACAACAATTTTAAAT